AGGGAAGAACAAATTCCGTTGATCTCATCCGACCGCCAAGTGGGAGCAGGTAGCAAAAACGAATCACTTACAATGAACTATACGAGATCGTAGTTCGAAGGTTGTGTATTTAAAAACAAATCTGCGTGGATTTAGCACTAGGAATATCAAATAACCTGATCACGTCTATGGAAACGCCACTTAAAATTTGGACAAGCCATAACATCGCCAAACACGAGCGTATCCGACAAAATGTTGATACCATTATGATCTCAAGACATTAAATATCATGCGCCACACAACAACGAACTAGTTTCTTCATTAGTCTTGAAGGGTTTGCATTTGACGCATTTGGAAGTGAATTTGGGAGATGTGGCATATACAATTCTAAGCGCACCCAACCGACATCGCTGCGAATGGACCCAATTTGGACAGGCAATAAATTCATAAATACGTCGAACTGCACGATGCAATGGGGCTTAGCCAGCTTAGAAAAGCATGAATATCATGTGTAGTACAACGCCAGCCTCCAGCTATATGATTTACGCCTTCATTGGGGGCCATGAAGACAACCATAAAAACCTTTATTTTTGTATCGAATAGTGGTAACCAGCTTATACATGCATTCTTAGTGCTGTCTATGCGAACTTCGATTCATACAAATATCAAGTTACGACAGTCGGTCGTTTTTGCTACCTGCTCCAAGTGGGTGGTTCCGCACTACGAGTCGAAGGTTGAGAGTCGCACAGTCGCATCTAAATCGCTAGTACTTCGAGGAGAATGCTCGACTATGCACAATAGGTAAGCGGCTTGGTACTTGGACGAAACGACACGGGACTTCGAGCGTCGATCGTATAGGCTTCTCTTCGCAGCACTGATCATGTTAGTGTAGATGAAAGCTACATCACCACGCTCCAACGTCTAGCGTTGCTGGAAGCGTCGATGAGGAGGAAGGATGTGCCACCAACGAAGTGGCGCCAATTCAGAATGTGACTCGATTTTTGTATAGTTTGTGACACGCGCTGACGTAGCACGCTGACAGCGTCCATCCTGTTCAAAAGCACCTGCATTGCTGGACAGAGCACGAGAGGCAACATCTTTGACGGGCTTGGGGTTGAGCTCCTGCCATTGTCTTGTGATTGGCCTCTGATAGACCATGAAAACACTGTTTAAGTACCCTTGGCGCGGCCCCGATATGTCAATGCGTGTACAAATGTGCGGATTCATCAATGATATTTCAGTTTATAGTTTACAGATAGTAATAATAGTCGATAATCGTGTGCGTGCTTTCCATCGAGCACGCAGAAATAAGAGCTTAGAGCACGGTGCCGTCAAAGGCGTCGGCGTGGCAGACAGGGCACGAGTTCTTTTGCTCGACCCAGTACATGACGCACTCTTCGTGAAACTTGTGGCCACACGGCAACGCGAGCACAGCATCTTCGTCGACGTCGTTCTCGACTTCAAAATGCACCTTCTTGGCCGGCACGAGCTCGTCGTCGTTGGTCGAGAGCTCGCAGAGGCAGATGGTGCAAATAGTGTTCTCCTCGGCCGTCGCTGTGGTGTCGTCGTCTTTGTCTGCCGGCACCGATGTGACATCGGGGGACGCCGCTTCGTCTGGTGACGAGAGGCTCGTCGACGCGCCGTCATCGTCGTCATCGCTGGCTTCGTCGTCGCTGGCGGCCGAGTGCTTGTGAAGATCGTTGCTTTTGTGGTGCGGTACTTCGAGAAAGTCTTCGAGCAGGTCGTAGAGCGTGTCAAGCACGCATTGCACAACGTCGTCGGACGCGTGCTCGAGCGTCGCCAAGACGCAGCTGGCGCGGAGGCCAAGGAGCATTGCTGTGAAGCGCTGCAGCGTCAGTTTGCGCTCGTTGATGATGGTCTTGTTGTTGACGCTCACGAGGAGGTGCTTCTTGGGAAAGTCGGCGTCGGCGATTGGCGCGAGGAGCGTCTGGACGGCGGGCGGCGCGGTCGCTGAAAGATGCAGCAGCCGCTTCCGGAGCGAGAAGAACTGCGAGTAGCGCTTCTTGAGAACCCACCACGCCTTTGTGCCGGGGCACGTCGCGATGAGGGTGTAGACCGTGAACGGACTGCTGCCATAGTAGGCTACGCTCTTGGCACTCGAGTGCACGCGCGCTTGCTTGAGATCGCTGACCTGCGCCGCCTTGAGCGACGCAACGTCGTCATGCAGGAGGAGACTGTCGTGGACGAGATCGGAGAGAGGCATGTGTGGTCGATGTTGTAATAATATACGAGTTTGGGAAATGCTACTGCGCCCGAGGTTTCAAATTGAAAAGTCTGGTTGGTGCCAGTTGCCGTCCGTGCTAGAAAAAAGCTTGAACTTCAATTTGATTGCCTGTCCACGCGCCCCCCACACATACAAATTCCAAGGTGAATTCGATATTTTGGCTGCCTTTTGCGCACCCTTTCGCAGACGAGCATTCTTTTTTCCTTTGTCGCGATTGTTGTCGCTTGGAATTTGATAGAATCAATATGTGGACAACATGTCAATGTCTGAGGTACTAGACTAGTGTGGTTTGTCCAGTATGCACATGAACAACGTCATATCTGACGTGGGCAAACAAAATTTGGCCGCACCAGAAAGACACCTCTGAACGACACGAAAAAAAAGAACCTGCCAAGTAGCTCGATCAGTCTGGTAGCTCGATCAGTCTGGAGCAACTGGGTCGCAGGTGCCGCATCTTTTCCGACCAGAAGGACACGACGACGACTGCTAACGTGAGTACCTTCGAGCACCTTCCTTCCGCTTCCGGCCGCTCGATGAGCGATCGTGCTACTTGCTATGTTATGTAGTGGCGTACCGGCATGCGCAACATTCCACCAACCACCGTACTGGCAGCCATTCTACGTTCCACAGCGCACATCGGAACGTAGCGGTGCCACACAGCCTTATTCTGGAGCAGCCCCTTTCCTCATATCACTAGACAGGTTTTCCGTGTCAAAGTTGATAATTTTCGACCGAATTCATAAATTGCGCTCCTAAACACGTGTGCAACTCGTCCCTAGTCCCCTAACCGTACTTGCTTCAGCTCTTGCTTCGTTCATCTTGCTGGTCCTCACGTCCCGTACGTGGCACACACAACTGCCTCGCGTGACGCTCGAGGTTGCTTCTTTGACAACATAAACAAGCACCATGCGCCATGGATTTAAAAAATCATAAATTAATCGGACTCGTTGGCTACGCGGCAATGAAGCCACCGACAGCCTCGCAGCGGCAGAGCGGGCACGTCATCTTCTTGTCCAGCCAGTGCACGAGGCACGACTCGTGGAACGTGTGGCCGCACGTGAGTTCGAGGACCGTGTCGTCGTTCGAGAGCTCGTCAAACTCGCACATGCAGATCGGGCACGCATCGTCTGTCGGTGCCGTGTGCGACTGCAGCTGGCGGCCGCAGCTCAACCGGTGCTCTTCGTCTTCGACGGCCACCGGCATCTCGAGAAAGTGCAACACCAACGAGGCAACGTCCTGGGCCTTGCGGCGGGGCGCGCCCGGTTGCTGCGCGAGCGTGTGGCACGCCTGGCGGAGGCGAATGAGCGCGGCGATGAAGCCTTGCAGCTCACGCTTCCTGTCGCGGATGATCGTCGGGTGGTCAAAGCAAATGTGACGACGGGGAAACTCGACCGCCGCCATGGACGTCAAGAGGTCGGCGAGCGGCGCCATGCCGGGCGTCGCGTTGCATTGCTTGCGCCATTTCAGAAGCGTCGACCGAAGCGCAAAGATCTGCGAGTAGCGCTTCCGAAGGATCCACCACGTGCTCGTTTGGTGGCATGTGACCGTGAACGTGTAGACGGTGAAGGGCGAGAGGCCGCGCTGGACGACGTTCTTGGCCGTTGTGTGGACGTTGATCGCATCGTCGTCGAGGTGAAGTGCACTGAGCATCATGGTAGTGGATTGGGAGTTTTGGCTCATGGTGGCAAGAGGCATGTCGACTTGCGAAGAAGACGGCAAATTGGAGAATGATCACTGGTATTAGCATCGATGCAGTGACTGTCCAATGGTCAGCGGACTGTGTCCATGAATGTGACCACACACGAGTTCGCACACGACGTCGTCGATAGCCACATCAATGGGACAGCGCCAAATTGATGGGAGGGCCGATCACGAGTAGCATGGCGCGTGGCATTTGCGCCAATCACGCGACGGCATTTCGCATATACCCGGTCTGCGATGCTCTTTTTAACCAATCCGCGTCGCCTCGGAACGCGCGACATGAATGGGGAAGTTCGCAGTGTCGTGGCATGTGCCAGTCGCAGAATCCAGTAGGCGACTGCGAGCCATGGAACGCAAGCTTGGAACGGAAGCTTGGAAATGGAGAGCGTGTTTGTTGAAGAGAGAAGGACTATAAATTGAAGAACTAAATACCTAGCGAACCTAAATTTTCAGCAGCCAACGACGTGGCCGCCGACGGCTTCGTCACGACAGAGGGGGCACGTGAGCTTTTCTTCAAACCAGTGGACAATACAGTCTTCGTGGAACGAGTGGTGGCATGCCATTGTGAGCACCGACTCGTTGGCGTCGAACGAGCACATGCAAATGGCGCACGACTCGTCGTCGTCTTCGTTGGCGGTCGACGGCGAGCCCGATCCATTGCTGCACGTGGGCGAGCTCACCGAGAGCGTGTGCCGGAGGTCCTCGTCGCGGAGCCCGTCCGGGATTTCGAGAAAGCGCTGCACAATATCGTAAATGTGGTCGAGCTTGGCGCCAAGCGAGGTGGTTTCAGCATTGAGCGACTGGAGAACGCAGGCGGCGCGGAGCGCAATGACTTTCGTCGTAAAGTCCTGGAGCAGCGCCTTGCGCTCCGTGACGATGATCGCCGTGTCAAAGCCGAGATGGCGCGACGGGAACTCGCACTTGACAATGTCCTTGAGGAGACTGCGGATCGCGCCGGTCGAGAACGCATGGAGCTTTTGCAGCTGCTTGCGGAGGCGGTGGAACTGCGAGAAGCGCTTCTGGATGACCCACCACGCCTTCGTGCCCGGGCATGACACGATGAGCGTGTAGATCGTGAATGGCGTGACGCCGCGCGGCGCGTACCACATTGCGCTCGCGTGCACCTTGACGTCGTTGCGGTCGTGCTCGTGGGCGAGCTTGACCTTGTCGACCGAGTCGAGCTGGAGGTCATGCATGCGGTCGGTCAATGCTGTGGTCATGGTGTTTCGGAATAAGATCTGCGTCGTGGGTGGCAAAAGGCAAAGTGCCGTTTGGGGAAACCAGGACCGCGTTGAAGTTCGTCGAGTGTTTCAGCCAATCACGGAGCGCCATCTCCCTTTCATACAAACGTGCTATATGTTTTCTGAAAAAAGGATGCGCCACCAATTCCGTGGTGTTGTTTTTGAGGTGGGTTCGATCTTGAACCGGCCTTTCTTATACTTGATATTTGTATGAGAGCCGATGATGGGACATGTGCAGCGGGTATCGCAGCGCGTGGAAAGCGCGCCGATCAGACGGCGCGGGGCCTTTTCCTCACGACTTCTTCTCGGTCCACTCTGCAGAACCCGGTCATTGACAAGCAAGCGAGAGAGATCGAGGATATGGGTAGATAGTATCTTTGTTATTGTACAGGAAGAGAAGAAGAGAAAAGAGAGCCGGCTATGGGATCCGGTCGCGGCACAGAGCACAGTGCGCGGGCCCATGCACGACGCACGCGACGTGGACGTGATGTCCGCACGCCAGCGCCTCGACTGTGTCGCATGCACCAGGCACGAGCGGCGCCAAGCACACGCCGCAGCTACTCGCTTCGTCGTCTTCGTCCGGGTACATGGCGTATGCCGCCGCTTCGTCCGGCGACAGAATCGCGACGGTCTGCCGGAGCTCATTGGGCGACACGTGCGTCGGCACCTCGAGAAACTCTTGGAGCAGCGAGAAGAGCGCGTCGCTCGGCGCCGTCGTCGTCCCGCGGTGCGCAACGAGCGTGAGCAAGCAAGTGGCGCGGATCGCGACCAGCATCGCGACAAAGTGCTTGAGCGCCGCCGCGCGCTGGGCCACGACGTCCGCGCTCTGACCAAAGAGGTGCTTTGGCGGAAACGGCATCGTGAGCGCCGTGTGCAGCGGCCGCGCGAGCTCGGTTTCGATGCCTTTTTCGAGGCGTTGGAGGGCCTTACGGAGTGCGTAGCACGCCGAGTAGCGCTTTGTGAGCGTCCACGTCGCCTTTGTGCTCGGGCACGTGATGAGAAACGTGTACGCGACGTAGCTGGACGCCGCATGGGGGTGCACGATGATACTGGTTGTCGACGACGACGCTTCGTCCATTGTGAGCATGGTCATGGCAATCGATGGCAGGCTGCTCTTGTCGGCACGGAGGCAATTCAAAACTGAACTACTCGAATTTAAAATACATCGATTACGGCTTTGCCGAGTTTGTGTGCACGCGACCCGATGGCGCGCGTATACTCATTTCAAGTGCCTCGAATCCGGTGATGGATGTATATACACAAACGCTAGAAGAACCAGATCGCACCTGCGAGCATTTCCGAGTACGCGAAACGCGAAACACTGGCGCGTACATGTCGCTGTCGGCGCAGTGATGCAGTCCGAGGCGGCGGACTGGCCCACGAGGCTGACGCACGCAAGTGCCGCGGTCGGATGCATGATCTCGCTGCTGTGCGCATGAGCGTAATACACACCGTCGACGCGTTGGTCGGCCACGAAGCGCCCGGAGGATATGACGTGGCAGCGCTGCAAAGCCATGCCACATCTGCGAGAATGTAGGTCAAAATCGACTGCCCACAGAACCTGGCGCGTTGAAAGGTGCTGAAATCGATAGGCCGACTGTACAACGTACAACTGTGCCATGAGTCGTGTGCCGATGGATCCTCGGAGAGGCAAGACATGTAACCACTACTGTCGCAATCGTCGCGAGGGGCGGTCGCGCAGGATCAAAAGCGCGTAAATACGATGCGACAGTCGCGCACGCGATGCCAAGCCTTTCACGCTACGACACGCAATCGATACAAGTTGTACGACCACATTTTTCGGCGCGGTGCCCACCCCATTTTATCATCGTCGGTGCGGGAGGTCAAATCAGGTCGCGTTTCGAGTTTCTGCTCGGTCGACCTTTCGGTTACTTCGCAGTACCTGTTCGTAGTAGTATGCAGAGGTGTGTTGTTGAATACTAGTACTAGTATGTCTAGTCTGACGTGATCGATTACGCATTCTAGGACGAGGGCAAACCAAAAACTACACCAAGCAATCCAGCTGCGTGCAATAATATCCCGACCATGGCGTTGATGCTGCACGTTTGAACAAGCTCACGTGAACTAGGAAACGCAATTGAGTTTTATCCTACACTAGTAGGCTAGGTTGTTGGTGTTTAGACCATGACACCGTCAAAGGCGTCGGCGCGGCAGAGCGGGCACGAGTTCTTTTGTTCGATCCAGTACATGACGCACTCTTCGTGAAAGTAGTGGTTGCAAGGAAGCTTGAGCACCTTTTCCTCTTCGTCGGTATCGTGGACGTTGTCGTCGTCATCGAGGGCGAACCGGACCTTCTTGGCCGGCGCGGCGTTGTGCTTGGGGGTTTGGTAGTGGTACGTCGCACCGGACGCCTTGAACTCGTTGAGGCAGATCGAGCACGAGTCGCAGCTCGAGTCGTTGGACGTCTCGCTGCAGCGGTCCGAGGTCGGTGACGCCGGCGACGAGCCCACGAGGGGATCGTGCGTCGACGGGATTTCGAGAAATTCCTGGAGCAAGTCGAAGACCGCGTCCAGCTTGGCGAGCTGCGCGTCGGTGCGGTCCGCGTCGAGCGATGCGAGGATGCACGAGGCGCGGAGAGCGATGAGGGCGGCCGTGAAGCGCTGGAACTGCGTCTTGCGCTCCTTGATGACGGCCTTGTTGTCGACGCTGACGAGCATGTGCTTCTTGGGAAACTCCATCTCGAGCGCGGGCGCGAGAACATCGGCGAGGGCGGTGAAGCGGCTGCTGTTGCACGCCTTCAAGTGGCGGAGGAGCTGCTTGCGGACCGAGAAGAACTGCGAGTAGCGCTTCTTAAGGACCCACCACGTCTTCGTGCCGGGGCACGTGACGATCATGGTGTAGATGGTAAAGGGGCTGCTGCCGTGGAAGGCAACGTTCATGGCGCTCGAGTGCACCTTGACTTGTTTCATATCGTGTTCGTGCGCCGTCTTGAGGCGCTCGATCGAGGCGTCGTGCTCATGGGCAGCGAGATCGTGGCAAAGAGAGGTAATGGTCATGTCGGGCAAAGTGGTCCATGCGGCGTTGGGGGGTTGTAGGGTTGGTGTGGAAGCAAAGCTTCGGGTGTCGCTGGCGTCTGCAGTCGAAGGCAAATTGGAAAATGACGAAACCAACGGCGCTGAGGCCCTCTGCCACATCGTCAAGGCAGCTGCGCCATGTAGCCGAATTCCATATTGGCCAATCAAAAGGCAATGTGGACTGGACGTTACGGGTACCGAACGATATACTATAGGAATGCGCCAATCAGATGCGTCAAATTCGATTGCGACATGCTGTGTTTGTATCTCACTGTTTGTATGAGCATACTGAAACGCAGTGCGCTTCTTTTTTTTGGTTGCCAAAGTTGCCAAAGGACCACATGCACCAGACGATTTGGAGGGAAGGGGCCAGCGAACCAGAAATTTCTGGGTGGTAGCTGAATACACCAATGAGGCGCCGCCATTTTGCTAGTCCATGGATGCGATTGGCCATTGGTCCTTGACGTTGCAGGCAGCTGGATTCTGATCTGACCTCATTTGGGCATGCCCGTGATCACTTTACCGCGCCAGAGGACGACTGGGTTTCTTGTGGCGCGCCATGTGCAAGCACCTGGGACCGCATCGAGCGTACATTCTAGCGCCGCATCGAAACAACCAAGCGGCAACCTTCACTCATAACGCACCAGCAAGTTCCAAGGGTGCGAATAATGGCTGCAGGGAACAAGCAATTGCCTTGCTCTCCTGCTCGTTCGGGCACACCATGTGATGTGCCATCAAGCATTATCCACTTCTGCAACGTACACTTCAGTCCGAGGACAACAACGCACCCCCATCACGATATCCTGCATGGCTTCGTACATGCTGATAAACTTGACGTCTACCAATCAATATATAACAAATAGTTTAGTAAATAGGACGAATAGAATCAAGACCACGACAGTACGCTCAGAGCAAGTATCCCTGCGTCGCGTCTTGGCGGCACAAGGGGCAAGTCGCCGACTTTTCGAGCCACCGGACGACGCACTCTTCGTGAAAAACGTGCTTGCACGGCATTTGGAGCTTGGTCTCGCTATGCTCGTAGCCGCAGAGGCAGATGGCACATGCCTCCTCACAGCTCGTACATTCCGTCGTGTCCTCCTCCGTCACCGACGACGATTCGGGGGATACGAGCGCGATCGTGCGGCGAAGCTCGTCGCGGCGCAGTGCCTCGGGGATGCTCAAAAAATCTTGCACGAGTTCGTAGAGCTCGAGGAGGCTATCTTTGGCGGCCGACGGCGGCAGCTGCAGTGCCCGCAACACACAGGCTTCGCGCAAGGACACCAGCATCGCTGTGTACTGCTTGAAGAGCGTAAGGCGCTCGAGGATCTTGCCGGCGTTGTGGATCGGCGTCAGCGGGTGTTTCTTTGGAAACATCGGCGCGTGCACCGCGCCGAGAACGTTGCGGACATCGTCGCATGCGCGCTTGGCAAGCGCCGCCAGTGTTCGTCGAAACGCGAGAAATTCCGAGTACCGCTTCGTGACGACCCACCATGTCTTCGTCGTCGGGCACGAGACGATGAAGGTGTAGATGACAAAGGGGCCGCTGGCCGGCGAAACCACATTCATGGCGCTGGGAAAGACCTTGAGCGCGCGCGCCGCCGCGTCAAAGCGCGTGCGGTCGAGGGTCGTCTGCGGAAGCAGGTGGGCGGATGCAGTCATCGCGGAGCAAAAGAAAGAATGCTGCGACGTTGCGTTGCGCGGGTGCCCTATATAGAGCCAGAGTATACCGTATACGAAAAGACTGTCGGGTTCTTTTTCTAGTTTTTGGTTGCGGAGGGTCGCCATCTGGTCGGCGGATCGTTGAACCTGAGGAAAGGGGCGCATCGTCAGCGCACTGCCTTGGCTGGACACTACAGTACGTGCAGTAACCCACCAACGGAATGCCTGCGGCGGCGACGACGACTGGCGGACAAAGGCTTGCAACTTCATCCGCGACAAGCCGTGCGAGAAACCATGCACCAGGACCACCAACACTGGAGCAACTTGCCACGAGATTAGGTCATAGAGAAAACGTTCCGCCGATCAGAGTCTGGCGTGCGAATTGGTCCTCGGAGAAAGAAGAGAGCAGGTGCAAACATCGGACTGGATGCCTCCCGAGCCCCATGCATGCGTGGTACAGTCTGCATCGCGTTCCGGCATATGAAAATGACTGCAAGAAGAGAAACCAGCAGCAAGAAAACAGACTCCAGCAAGAGAAAACAGAGAATGTGGTTCGCTCGAACATTCTTCGATCCGTGGAACCTTCGCGCCATGAAATTGCACATCTCGCTTAGAAGCCATAACGGGCGGCCAAGGCGAAGCCAAGGAACCGCGTCGCTTCCGCCCACTGGCAAGCACGCGCTTGGATCGTAGCGAAACGAGCGAGCAACACTCTCAGACTGGACAACCTCGCGTTGCAGGACCTGCTGCATATGCGCGCGAGGACAGCAACGCATTCGTTTGCTCGGCGTGCCGTCTAATCTGTGTGATTGTGGTTGTTGTCAAGAGACCCAGATCAGATATAGGCGTCGTATCCGGATGTCGGATACATCATTCGCTCGATTCTTTTCTAATGCTTTCTATTTAATTGACCAGCTGGACGCCGACGCACCATCTGTTGTCCATAACGAGCGTAAAGAACTTGTCAAGATTGTCAAGAATAAGCCACGGTAATGACTAACGACATGATCCTCGTCCGCCTTGGTGTCGAAGCCTTTTAATGCGACAAACAACTGTGTCGTGGCTGAAACTAACGTCTAGCTAGTGTTCGGGCTGTACAAACAAATATGCCATTGCCGGTACCGACGCATTGCATAGGTGCAGTTATTGGTGAGGTGACCTGTGTGGTGGTATGTACTACCCGAACCCTCATACATGTACCTACGAACACCATTCTGGCGTACACGGATCATTGGGCTTTTCTGAACGATGACAAGACGTGTGAGCATGTCTTTGCCGCGCGGCATCTCTAAAGATTCCCTCGTATTCCAAAATACCAATGGGAAGATCTGCATCGAAGGGTCATTTGCTTGCGTTCAGCATGCACTAGATGTGGGTACACACTCCCAGACACACTCCTTTTGATTTGATTCTGGATGTGGAAACATTTAGATTGCGTACGTTATCGATGGTCAGCCACGGCTGGTCCAATTCGGCTAGTCCATTCCATTCTACAGCAATGGTATCATATGCGCATCGCAGCGGTCAGCGTTGTCGATCTACACGTCTACAAGTACCCGAAGGGCATGGCATCCAAAGCGTTGCCAAGATCGTCGGCAACTTCAACTCTCGGCGTCTGATCTATGGAGCGGTGCACATGGCTTTGCGAATGCGTCAACTGTCGAGAGCTCTGATTGGCTTTTTTTACATCGCCGAAAGATCGCGGGAGATTCAAACGAGACGGTTTCCGAATCTTTCGCGCTCTGTCACTCCGGCGAAATCACACGTTCGCAGATCGAAGACTCTGGTTTCCATTTCCCGTCTGCCTTTTCGCTAAATAGCCTACACCAGCCTCCTCGCCGTCGTGTACCTCATGCTGCACGCCGACGACCACAACATCATCCAAGTCGCCATCACGAGCGCCAGCGTCTGCGGCTGCTACAACGAATTCACGTTTTCCGAGCCGTTCACTACTTACTCGGTGCACATAACGTGGGGTAGCACGAAGTGGATGCTCCAGAAACGCTACTCGGAGTTCCTCCGCCTGTACAAGCCGCTGCGCAAGGCGCTTGCGCCGTCGCTCTGGGCAAAGGCGCCAAAGCTCAAGGCGGCGCCGATCGTGCAAACCTTCTTGGCCACGCCGTTTCCGAAGAAGCACCTGCGCATGGACACGGACGCCATCCGCGCCGAGCGCCGCGTCGGCCTCGCGCGCTTCACCGAGGTCCTCGTCGCCCTCCGCTGGCACTTGCGCGCGCAAGCCGCGACAAACGCGATCTTTGAGCTCGTCAATGCGTTCCTTGAAGTGCCCAAGCACCGTCAGACGTACGAAGCCCGTAAGTTGTCGTCGCTGCCCCGTGTGTCCCGCGCCGGCACCGAGCTCGCGATCGAAGACGACAGCGACGACAGCGACGACGACGAAGGGTGTGCGATCTGCCTCTGCGAATTCGCGTCTACAGAAGCCAACGACAACAACGAGGCAACGACCAGCGTCACCTTGCCGTGCAAGCACGCGTTCCACGAACACTGCGTCTTTTCGTGGCTGGAGCTGCACCAGTCGTGTCCGATCTGCCGCCAGCTCGTCGTGTACCAGAGCAGCGCCTAGTCGTACTCGCGCTCTTGTCGTTTGTCCTTGTCGCGTTGTCTTCTTGAGTGTAATCATTGCACTGTACTGTGTCCTTGTAGACCTTGCTCTTGGGCCCATCGCCGACACCAAATCGCGTTGATTGCCTACACCAGCTCGTAATGGACGGGCACTTTGTGAATGGCACCGGATATCAACCAAGCATCTATGCATATGTCTCTGAACGACGTAGTTCTACTGCGTAGGCTCGTTCGTTGGCGATGAAAATTGCAAAAATAGAGCCGCTTAGTCATCAGTCTTTTCATGCAGCCAAGTTCAAACTATGGAAATAGGTTAATTACGAGATAACGCGAACGCTTGCATTCGACTTCCACACAGACGAGGAGCTTGTCCATGCAACTAGCGATACCCTCCTACCCCTCGGTACAGCTGTAGCAACAAACTCGCATCGACTTGCTGACATGCCGTCATGAAGCAGCAACGCGATTGAGGTGGCGTTATCAATTTGGTGTTTGTCTTGTCGTGGACCGTGAAGAAGCCGCGCCTGCGTCGCCCGAGTGTAGTTGTCACCCCTGGTTGTCACCGGGTGCAAACACTTTCAGATCTTGGCGTTGAAGCGTCCGCAAAGGTCGGAAACCTTGTCTAGAATATAGGTCACTTTGGCCAGTATTAAAATTTACCTCAGAAATGTCCACCACTCGCCCCGTTGAAGCTGGCAAGCGAGCAGCACTGGAAACTCGATACCGGTACGAACTAGAGACCGTTGCCTCGAGAACGCTCGCATATGATGTGGGCTGACGTCTGGGACACGGCGGTTGCCTATACATAGCCGTGTTGGCAACAATATCGTCGTACGCTGACGTTGGCAGCATGCTTCGCCTTCGATATCGAAAAAGAGGCCACCCAACTGCACATTTTTGATTTCGCATTTGCTTGTGGGATCATGGCGCTGCACCCGCTCGCGTGGACGTACGGCTGCTTGGACACGAGCGTCTACGAGCGTCGCGCGCCGCGACCTTTTGTCATGGCCCGCGACTCGTTCTTAGCGCCAACCGCCAGTGTCCGCCGCATCTCGTGTACTTTGCAGCCCAATTTTACGCTCTACACGCTGCTCGTTGTCGACATGTCCGAGTTTTTCGTGCTCCGAAAGCGCTACTCGCAGTTCTACGCGCTCCGAAAAGCTCTGCGTAAGCGCTATACCACGGCGCCACCGGCCATCCGCGCGCTCTTGCAGCCCGTGCTCAACATGCCCTTTCCGCGGCGCTACCTCGGGCCCGACGACGCGCTCATTCGCCTTGAGCGGCAGCGCGGGTTCCGTGACCTCATTGGACCCTTGCTGCTGTTGCGCCGAGGTCTTCCCGCCACGGACGGAGTCGCGGCAGTGATCGAGGCCTTCTTTTGCGAGTCGACCACCAGAGACTACCCATCCTGCGTCTCTGTCGCCAGCTGTATGGACGACTGTGCAATCTGCCTCGACCCACTGGACCCGTTCGGGACCGACAACCCGTGGCATGTTCGGGCGAGGCGTCGACTGCAGCTACCGTGCGGCCACGAGCTCCACGAAGATTGCGTGGCGCCCTGGCTCGAGCGGCGCACAACGTGCCCGCTCTGCCGCGTCCAGGTTACGTCGGGCCGCGTGCGGTGATGTCATTATCGACTGCGACTGCTCTATATTTGTGAATACAAGGGATCCTTGTGTGAATATGACGATTGATGGAGCATGAAGCATGCGTGGCATCTCGATGGACCGACTGCAGTAATGCAAAGATGACAACTCGAAGAGCAGAGCGGGTGGCGACAAGTTACTCGTTCAAGGGACTAGATTGTAGCGTGTGGAGTTTCGTCAAATTCGGTCTCCGAGGCTCACAAACAAGACGGTGGAGACGACTACAGCAAATGCAGTTGAATTGGCTTTAGGTCGGCGACGCATTGACGCGTCGGTACTCGAGCGTAATGGGCCCGTCTTTCTTCCACATGGCCTTTTGAATAAAGATGAGCGTATGCTCCTTGCCGAGGAGCTGGCCAGCGCAGCGCACTTCTAGATCCTGCGGCTCGACCAGCCGCCCGCGCAGCCGCAGCATCTTGCGGAGCAGGATCTTGACGTCGAAAATCTACAGTGGCATGATGCGGTCGTGCATGAATTCCGGTGTGTGTACGCGGTATCGCTCGGTGAGTTGCCAGAGGTATGTAAAGTGCTTTCGTCGCAACGGCGCCGACTCGTCGCTGCCGTCCGGTGGACCGAGCGACCTAGGACAAGGGCCATCGCACCGCGCATTGTATATGGCCGCAACACGCACTTGAGCTCGGGGCGCAGGACCACGCGGAGCTGCTTGCCCTTGAGTTTCTTGAACTTGACTTCGGCCTGCGACGACCCGGTAGCCGTGTTTGACTTGTGTGGGATATCGTGCTTGGCGTAGAACGCGACCTCTAGCTTTGCGTAGGACGTTGGATAGAGGCGTATGCGTACCATCCTGCGCGTCTTGCACGTCGAGCTTGGCGAGGAGCTTCTTGACGAGGCCTTCCATCGCGTGGTCTTGGCTAACAGGGCTTGAGTTGGCCACGTCCAAGCAAGGCGACGCGACGTACACAATCTCTGGCGGCTTGCGCTTCGTGCCCGAGAGCGGATACGTGCCAAACGGGCCTTCGCACACGGGGCACGCGCGCTTGTCCTGGGTCACAATGTGCTTGAAGATGCAGCTCTTGCAGACTATTCGAGGCCATGAGCTTTGCCAGCGATGGCTTGCGCACGCACACGTATGGATGCATTCGCGCACTGTGTAGGGCTGGCGGAAGTACCCGTTGCATAGCGTGCATGTGATGTACGGGTTGATCGAGCTGGATGCGACGTGCAGCGTCGACGCCATGCTGCTGCTGCTCCTGCTGGGTGGCACCGGCGATTTTGAGGTCAGCTACGAAAATGCATGGATTTGACCATACAAAAACCAAGTTGCGGCCTTTCTGAACGACAATACGGGCGGTTGAGTTTCACGACCACCGCTCTGGCAATCGGTGATCGGTGATCGCGACCGATGCAAGCGCCAAGCACGCGACCGAATGGAAGTCGCTTGCCGCGCGATCTTGCAGCACATGCAGCCTTGGAATGCACCAATCAGCGCATCCAATCGTGCCCTTTCAAATTATTTTGAACGGTTCCCGCGCAAACGGCGCAGACAGAAACGTCGTTGGTGCAGGCGGAATGAGAGTCTTTTCGACAAGGGACGCAGATCCATCAGAGACACGAGTTACCAAACCGTAGCAAGGCTCTCGTCTTGCGACCGACTGCAACGCTGTTCGATACGTTATGTGTAGCTGGAGAGCAGAAGTCTCGTTGATGTCGCCGCAACTTCTTGGCATTGCGTAGGCGTCAGCTACTGCTGGTAGGACTGCGTCACGTCAAACAAAATGCCACCGACACGATCCTACGTGGAAATCGCAAAGCAAAAGGGAAGAAAAGGCCGTTGTCGACGGGCTGGAAGCGCGGACCTGCCGCGTTGTGCCGAGTAGAGCACAAGATGGTCGACGAGGAAGGAAGATCATCGAGCACACAACTAGCGCAATAATCATTTAAATAGGCGGTGGACAAGTCGTGCGATTCTGTGCATCACGCCGATCCCATACTTGAGAGCAGGCACGTGATGGCATTCATTTATAGAAGTTTTCAGGGTTCGAAGGATTAGATTTGACAGGAAACGGGGGAATGTTGGTTGAAGTCGGGACCTTTCGGTGTGTGTTCATTCACTTCACTGGAATGGGGATCGAAGGCTGTTGAGGTTTGCAAGGGACAGCCGCCGAGTGACGACTGCTGACGGAGCTACTACAATTGTAGTAGATGTGTCGAGGTCCTTCGATCGAACTACGTCGTCTGCAGTAATGTACTCGAGTCCTCGTTCCAAGACTGACGTTCCATGACCGACTTTGCACTTTGGCAAACTGGTTCGAACCCCAAGATGGGACTTTATACTTATGACTATCGACTACACTTCCTTTCGCGCTCTTACTCGTCTTCCTCGAGGATGCACGAGAGATCCTTCTCGCGTGCCAGCGTCAGAAGCGGCGTCGGGACGCGAATCGTGAGCGGCTTCCGGAACATCAACTCCTACCGTGCGACGATGAGGAGACCGTTGCTGCTGTTACCTTCCGGAAGCACGGTACATACCTGCAGGATATCGCGCGTCTCGTCGTCGTCGCCGAGGGTCACAAAGGAGCTGAGCATCGCATGGGGGCTCTGGCTATAGTAGGGCATCGTCGTCTCGTGCTGGATCGTCTCCATTTTCGTGCGGTCGCGTCCGGGTGCGTCCCTTTTGTCGAATTGCTGAATACGCAAGCACGTCAATCCTGGCAAACCCTCCGTAATCAGTGGCAGGAAGAGTTACATACCGGCGGCGGTAGCGGTTTAAAATTCGTTTTAAATCAACGCAAATTTCTAGAAGCTTCACTTGGAAAGAGACAATTGTCGCATTAAAAGACTCGGTCAACGCATTTTATTTCAGCGTCGTTTTTCACCAAAACGCACCCAAGCCCCGTGTAGAGGTTGGCAGTACTGGATTGGCCAAAATTCAAATTTATAGGATTGGTTGAAAGTCCAGCAAGCGCGATGAGGATTGGTCGTTCGCAGCTATATTTTCCGTGCATTGGATTGGCCACGTCGCTTGTTTATGTAGCCAATCAGCACCGCGGCCTTATTAACCAATCCACGCAACGAAACGCGGTGATTGGCACAAAGTCGAAACAGCTCGCGATTTGAAATCTTGCTGCCGGGACAGGCGACGTCGCGATAACGCGATGCTACCAACTACGGTGGGCCGCACCTCTCACCGCGCATCGCCGGGCCAATGTGCGTGAATGGCTCCATGGCAAGCAACTTGCTACCCGATAGAACCAGCATGTCGCCGCATCTATCCAGCGCGCGATCTATCCACTCCCATTCAAGGTTGAACATACGTGTGAAGATCCAAAGTGTGCTTCCTTTAGAGTACAGGTTATGCATAAATAGTTCGTATCGCGAGAGTGTCAAGGATCGTAGCCATGGATCCGGGATGCGCTCTGGGCGTGAGCGCGGCATGGCTCGTCTACCACTGGAGGCGCTGGCGCTTGAAGAGCATGCCTTCGTTGTCGTCCCCGAGCTTGCGCTTCGTCACGAGCTGCACCATGGGCCCGTTAGCGTCGGCGACAATGACCTCCATGTCGTACGAGTCGATCGAGGTCGGCGTCATGGCTTGCGGCATGCACTGGATCGGTTGCTGCTGCATCGGCGGGTAGAAGCTTGTGGCAGAGTACCCACGGCGGTTGCTCGTCGCCGCAAGGAAGGCTTCCGCCGAGTTGGCCCATTCGTATCCGCTCGACATGCTTTAGAGTCGATGAGCGCAAGAGCGAGCAAATCGGAAAATGCGAGCTACGAACCGAGTGCCAGGTTCACCCGCCACAATGGATTAAAATCATTTCCTAAAACATATTTAAATACTTAGGGCTGCTGTATTTTATTCGAAGACAAGTGAATCACCTACTCTATCTATGGCATTGTTGTTGTTATAAAAAAATACGCCCTGCTAGCATCATTAAATGACACACAATTTAAAACGAAAACCCTATTTTGTCGAACATCCTCCACTTATTTTGCATCAACACGCACGCACGACCTGGTCATATAAAATATCCCATGCATATTTTTATTCATCAACTCTTGTATTTTAAATCTGCACCCTGTGTCTTACCATATATTTGTATCCATGAAGCCGAAAGAAAAACAATATGGGAGAGCCTGAATTATATTTGCATTCCACAGCGAATTATATTTGGTCTGAAACTGACACCAACTCGGTGGCAACCAACCTCGGCGATGAAAATAAGTAGGTTTATGCAAGGGTATGGCAGGTTAAACTTGAAGCCATTTATGTCCATACAAAAATAAAGGTATTTCCGATGCGTTTTAGGATCAACGCCGGACATAGATGCAAATTCAACACGGAGCTTAATAAACCGACGCGGAGTCTTTGCCGGAGCGGCGCCCGGAGCTAGCTGTCCCACTACACGTCGGCGGTAGTGCGACACGCGAGGACGCTGTGGTTGGTTGCGCCGAGAGCTTCCGGTGGTCTTGTGGCGTTTGCGGCATCTTGTGCTGGAATTACTGCCCATCGTCGGCGCCGCTGGTTGAAGTTTCGAATGCGTTAAACCAGTTTATACACTTGGCGCCACCGCCACCATTGGCACAAGGTGGTCGCTTTGACACTGCTGAAGTGTACCATGTCACTCGAGTGTGCTGTCATGCTGTCACACGCCTCGCAAGGTTCGAGCCTGAGACCGAGGCAGGCACTCACTTGCGTGCCGCTGAGCCGGTGCTGCGAAGCTTGCCGGATCTATGAGCAACGCGGCAGGATATTTGCTTCGATCTTGCCAGCAGGAATTGGCGCTGACTTGCGCGTCGGTCGTTGTCGAGTGGTGAGTGCTCTCGTGGAGCCTCGGCCTCGGGTCGACGTTGCGGATGTAATCGCGGTAGTAGTTACCGGTATAACGTTATCGCTACTGCGAGCCCGCATCCTCCTCGATGATCCTTCACAACCCGATGAGGATGGTGGGCAGCTCCGATTTGCTGCCCAGCACCAATACCGGCACGATCGACAAGGAGACCCGCGCTCCCAAGGCGCTGACTTTTGAAATGACAGCCCCCACTTTTACGAAGACGGTTCGTAGCGAGTCTATTTGGTGCTTTGCGGCTCCAGCGAGAGCCTTTTGACTCGTTCGCGGGGGTTGCTCTGCAGGAGATGGGCGTGTTGCGGTTGTTGTCAACGAAACCTCCTCCCTTAAACACTCTCCTCACCGCAATTGGGTGCGAGCTCGTCAAGCGTCGTCCCGAGCGATGAACGCTCTACTTTCGAGAGCAAGGTGTGCGCTCCGAGGGCGTATTCCTAAAGCAGCGTAAAAAATTTTGCTGGTGGCCTCTCGCCCATCCCGCCTTCTCGGACGCGACTGACACCAACCTCTCCTCTGCGTGGGTCGACGAGACAGCAGCGACGCACCGTGAGCCACTCTACGTTAGGCTCGCATCGATATCCTTGTCAGCTTTACCGCTGATATGCATTGTACAACAACGCGCCGGCCATACAACGCGCATGTGCGCAATGGTGGAGAGCCCCCTTGAAAAGGCCACTTGTTCTACGTGACTCGGACGTGGCGGCGGCCTCTGCATACCATCTAGTACTAGTACAAAGCATCTCGGCTTTATCGACTATTCACGCACGCATGGCTGAAAGGAAGTTAGACGTTCTAGACGCCAGCGATATCGTATCACAAGTGCTGCGTGGACGCATTCATCGCTCACTTTGGTCGGCACCAGACGATCTCACTACGAGTACGCAGAAGACTGCAGCGTCGTTCTCGGGCTCGTGGAGGCGCGTCAATCGCGTTTGGCTTCTGGACTACCAGCCAAAAGCTAGGTGCATGATGGGAATGCGATGCTTGATTCGCGGCTAGATGCTACATTCCAAGGCACGAGCACACAGCATGACCACATCTAGGCACATAGGGCACCAGAAGCAAGGCACGTCACCTCCCTTCTGGGCGTCGCCTTCTTGAGGTCTCGATGTACGAGTTTGGCACTTGCGTGCGCCTGCCCTCGTCTTTTCGGTGCTGCTGCTCGATGCCACGAAAATGGAAGATCGGATTTTCGATTTTGCTGCCTTTCTTTTTTTGGCGCCAGCCGATTGGCTGAAGTTGAAATGCTAGCATTTGATTGGGCCAGGTGTTCGCACCAGGCTTCAAATTGCCGTTTGCCACTTTACCTTTGTCGCGATGAACCTCCGGCTGCTCTCGCTCGTTGTGCTCCTAAGCCTCCTCAGCGTCTTTGCCCGCGCGGACGAAGTCGACGATGCTGCGTTCCACGATGGCATCGACATTGAGCCCGAGGCCGTGCCCCAGGACGGTCGCCCGCAGATGACGCAAGAGATGTTTGAGCAGATGCTGAGCCAGCTCACGCCCGCCTGCCGCGAAGCCATCGAGGCCAACCCGAACGACCCGAGCCAGGTCTCGGACGAGTGCAAGGCCGAGATCCAAGGCGCCATGGGCAAGGTCATGGCCGCGGGCAACCCGAACGACCCGATCACGCCCGAGATTTTTGCCAAGATGATGGAGAAGCTCCCGGCCAACTGCCGCGCCGAGATCGAGGCCAACCCCACGGACGCGTCCAAGCTCTCGGACGACTGCAAGTTTAAGATCCAGAAGGCGCTCTCGAAGCTCTTGCCCAAGGACGCCAAGCCGTCCAAGGCCAAGGCAGCGTCCAAGGCCGACGACGAGGAAGAATCGCCCAAGAAGAAGACCAAGAGCGGCAAGGCGAAGCGCGGCAAGAAGTCCAAGGACAACGCTGACAAGACCCGCCCGATCCTGATCGTGCTTGCGTTCGTCGTGACGGCCTTTGCGGGTCTCAGCGCGTACGCCTACACGCTGTACCAGAAGCAAGGTCCGGTCGTCAAGGCGACGGCCAAGAAGCTCAGCAAGAAGAAGCTCGAAAAGACTCTTCGCAAGGAACGCGCGGCCGCTGCCATGTAAACCTCGTGCATATACCTACACTGTTTTGGACAGAATACGTTGTGGCTTGTATCGCTGACCACACAACACCACGCTCGCAACGCATGTGACGCACGCAAAGGGACCTTCCGTGCCTCGCAGCATCTATCCTTTAGCACCTTGGATGTCACCGTCCCACCTTGGCAGCCCACATTTCGTAGCAGCCAACCGAGGGTGGAGGAATACCATTGCATTTGATGAAGCTCAACAAAGCGTTTGTGGCGATCTCGACCAAGAAACCAAGACTTGAAGCGTCTGTGTACCGCACTGAACGATAGCAGCTACTGTCGCTCCAAATCGACGCTTCGCTTCACGTTGAGCCAGCTCGTTGAACCAATCTGAGCCAGTTATCTGAGCCCTTGGAATCTCGTCTGAGAACCTGCCACGAGTAGCCGCTCGAAAGCAGACGGCTTCCGTGACGAGTATCTATTTGTGTGTCGAGACGAGGCAGCCGTCCTACGTGGCCCGAATCAGGCGCGAGGTCGTGACTCAGACGCATACGCTGGGTGCCCGTCGCAGCTTGCACAACCCTGCAAGTGCTGTCAGTCACGCCTCGACGTGGTTCTGAGCCTGGATACCCTTGCGGCCTTGTCGACAGCACTGGGAGGTTTGTGGGAAGGAGTGGATGGAAATGTGATGGATTCGATCGGCGAGCTTATCTGTACGCTGTACTATCTAGACGGACTGCACGACAAGCTTGACGGGCTTGGCGCTGTGCATGAGCGGCGCCTTCTCGCCAATCGGGCTGTCCGGGCTCGACTGCTTGGAGAGAACCACAACGCCAGCGATCGTGGTGACGATGCTGATCGGGTACAGCACCTGCTGCCACCACTCTTGCATGCCCTCGTCTTCGTGGAAGAAGATGACGCCCGAGATCGAACCTACAAGAACACTAAGATCTTGCTTGATAGTAAGCACGCATGTACCGCAGAGGATCAGGAACGACTCGTAGATGGCAACAATGTGCAGCGCATCGTACTCTTTCAAGCCCAGGTTCAGAACGTAGATGCCAAGTGCGGGACAGCCGAGCGCGAACAATACGATGAAGTACGTCTCGGTACACGCCCAGATCTCGCTGCCCTTCCCAATGAGTTCGACTGCCGTCTACACACACAAGGCGTCAAAATGTCGCCATGTAACTCCATCGGTCTTACCTTGGTGAAGAAGAGGTTGCCGCCAATGAGGCCCGAGAGCGCGCCGAATGCAAAGCGGCGCCACGAGCTGTGCGTCGGGTACGTTTGGATGACGTAGGCCAGCTATGATACGTATACAAAATGAGATGATTGCCATGCACGAATCGTTGCACGGTGTACCATGATCATGAGCACGATCGAGATGACGGCGTAGACGATGAATGGCAGCTCGCTAAAGAGCGAGAAGAGTTCTTCCGGCGTGTGCGTCGGCGAAATGTGGCTGCCCGAGAGGCCGACGATCCCGCACCCGATAATGATGAGGAGCGACCCGTGCAGCACCTGCGGCGACAGCGTTTCCTTGAGGATGTACGGTGCCAAGACAATGTTCCACACGACGCTAAAGCCCGCCATTGGCGCGAGCACCGATTGCGCGGCGAACGCAAAGCTCCACGCATCAAACACCGGGTTGAGGACGAGGACGCAAAACGTCGCCGAGCCAAGGAGGAGAAAGCTGCCGTCGTGGATGTGCGCGAGCTTCATGAGCACCTTGCCCACGGTGCCAAAGAGACTCGCCGCGAGCGAGAGAGCGATGCCAACGACCCAGCTCGCGTACATGCTGGAGGTCGGTCGGTCGGACGGCCGGTCGGGGAAAGTTG